GTTTATCATAATTGGGGATTCATGTAATATTGTTATATTAATAAAGATGTTGGAAAATCCTGTCTTGTTTAGTAGTTTTTACATGATCGACCTAGACAAGAACATGAAGCAACAGTTGGAATAGAATTTGGTGTTAAGGATATCAATCTTTCTGGCACAATTATACGTCTATCTATATGGGATACTGCAGGACAAGAAACATTTCGATCTCTCATTCGTGCATACTATCGATCTGCTATAGGTGTGTTCCTATGTTATGATTGTTCTAGTATGCAGTCATTTAATGGAGTCGAAAAATGGGTGCAAGAAGTGAATGACAATGGCAATGAGAGTAGAAGCTTCAATAATTAAAGATGTTGTAATTGCACTCGTCTGCAATAAAATTGATTTACAAGAGTATGCAGATCCCCTTCAATTAATTTTAGTCGATAAGTGTCATCCATCCAAGGGAGATAATACGCTGTTGACCATGGTTTCCTCTATGCTGAAGTTTCTGCTCTAACAGGAGTAGGTGTTTAATAAATCTTCAGAGATTTATCCCTTGAAATCATTAAAAGAATTGATAATTCAGTCATTGTTTTGGGAAAACATGTAACATTAAAATTAACCATCACTTATAGCTATAAGGTATTGTGGTTGGAGAGCCTAACCTGTCTCCTACCAAATAAATTATCAGTTTAGAATTAGATGAAACTCAATAGTAGAAGAATTAGAAAAAAAAGACTTGTTGTTGAACAATTTATAAATAAGCATAGAATAATAATATCAACTCTTAGGCACAAAGTTTTTATAAAAATTAATCAATTTTTGTTTTTGAATAATTGAAGTTGATTCTGGTGTTTCTGCTATATAGACTGCTGGTCTTCCTCCATATACACTATTGGCTGGTACAACTGTATCAGGTGGTAATATGGAATCATCAAGAATTATAGAGTTTTCTCCAATTATACATCTATGTGACTATGCATAATACAAATTGAGAATTACAATATAACAATTTTTTCCAATTGATGTACAAGTACCAATCTTAGTTGCTTATATAATTGAACTTGACTCAATTTCTACATAATCACTTATCATTAAAGGAAGGAATTTAATGATCTTTTTAGTAGGTGATTCTTTGGTGTAACCATATGTATAAGATGGTTTTAGTGTTACTTTTTCATGGACAACCAAATATTTGCCTATTGATACTTTAGCAAGATCCCCTCTCAATATAACATCATTAAAAAAGATGCATCTGCCACTTACATTAATTTATTCAGTTCCCTTGATTATGGATTTCTTAGATATTTTAATTCCTGATGATGTTTCATGAAATTCAGATTTGTCATATTGAATAATTGCATCCATTGTTAGTATTATAAATATAAATTTATATATATATATATAAAAATTGGAATCAACAAAATCTACTTATTTGTATATCGTCAACTTCCATTGTGAATAACAAAGTTGTACCAATGATCAAGTAAATTAGTAACAAAGTTAAAGCAGCATAAGAGATAATATATCCTAAATGAAAATCAAATTTTTGAAAGAAAATTCCCATCAAAAGTGTAGAAAGGATACTCCCAAAAATACATGCAATATCAATTTGATTAATTGAAATAATGGGAACAAAATTGATACAAAATACTAAGAAGTATATGCCTATAATCAATTTTTTGTATTATCCCAATTATTTCTATTAAATTATAATAAAACCGTAGAGTGTTAGCACTCCAAAAACTATTCCATAACTCCCTACAGTTAAACTATAAGGATAAATAAGAGAGCTCATCAAATTACTTGAGTAGCCTGCCAAAAACAAGATGAAGCTGTACTTCAATTTCCCATACTTTGATTCTGAAATATATCCATACATTTAAATAGTAATGAACCCTATGATAATGTGACTGATTCCTCCGAATTGAGGTATTGAGATTAACATTCTATAAAATTAACTTCTATGTTAAATATCTGGCCGAAATTTAGCACCACAACTGTAGAGTACACAACTAAATAGTATATCATTAACTTATTAGTAGATATACAAAATCCAAAAGTAGAGCAGAAGCACAATTGACAATGGGAATGTAACACTACAAATATTGAATTGTTTAAATAAAATAGAACCTATACTTACATTAGTATGTTTAACTCTTAAATTTTTATTACTTTAAGGTTGACTTTAATTTATATGCTATTAATCAATACTTAAATCTAATTAATTTATAGTTGGGATTTCCATTTCTAATTTTTTAATTTTATTTATAAATGCTTTTGTTTCTATAATTCTATATTGTCTCTTCCATGTATCCAGTTTCCTATATAGATGAACGACCCTACTTGAATTTAGACTCAGATCTATAAGTTCAACTAAAATTAGATGAAGTGTTATCTGAATTCTTATAAAGACATTCATAGAATGATAGATGTCCAGACTTTGAATTGAATGAATGCTATGAAGATGTTTATTAAAATGGATAAACTAAAAAAGTAAAGCTAGAAAAAGAAATCTTTTATCTTTATGATATTAAATCTGAAGAAAAGATTTAGTAAACTATTATTTATTCTGACTAATAATTAGAAGATGTTTAAAATACAATTAGTTTCCTTGCTCTTGCTCCATTTTAAAATCACAAAAATACCTTTTATTAGAATGGATTTAGTTTATGTCTATCTGAAACTGAAGGATATATTATTACAGATTTCAATTCAATATCTTAAAACACTTAGCCTTTAAATACTGAAGGTGTATTTACTAGATTAAAGGAAGAATAATATACAACTTATAGTCTACATCTTCAAAATATGGAAATTGATTTCAAGGTTAATGATATTTCATCTTATCCAATCTATATTGTTTCAGAAGATGTGATTTCAATACCTAAAGCAATCTTCCCTAAAAAATATTTTGAATCCAAAGGTTTCATCTATGATTCCAATGGATTCTATTATAGAGATCATTCAAATAGAGAAGATGATTTAGATTCTATATTATTCTATAATAATGCTAATTAAGATAATCCTTTGATTATAGATCCCATCAATTATGTAATAAATTAAGATAATGGATAAGATATATTAAAGATCTATACAGAAGAATAATATGAAAATGCTATCATATTAGGATTACCATTTTTAAAAAATAAGATATTTAATGTTTAAACTTAAGAAAATTATTTATATGTCTAATAGCTGAAAACAAATCTATGTATTTAAGATGAACAATCTATTGGAGTTTTTGAAATAATATTTATTGTACTCCAAGTGATTTTACTACCATTTTTAGTTTATTTTACATTTAAAAAGTTGAGAAAAAATGAATAATAGAAACAAGAATAAAGATAAACTCAATAATTCATAACTGAATTGTAATGATAATAAATTAGTTTTTATTATTCTATAAAAGTTTAAATTTAATATTATATATATACTAATTCCATAAAAAGCATTCAATATAGATACTAAATATATAGATAATTATATTCATTTAATTTATTTGAATAACAAACCATGAAGTGCATCAAAATCTTAAGCTTCTAATTATAAGAGAGCTGTTTTTGTAGAATCAAAAATAAAACCAGGTTTTGTATATTTAATTTCTGCAGTTAATGGTACTCTTGTCTTTTATACAATTTATGAGGAATCACATAAAAATTTACCTTTGAATTCATTATTTTCTTTTAGGTATATAAGTATGTTGTTATCGATTGTAGCTATAATTTAACAAGGTTTCCATGTTTTCAAAACATTTCCACAATCTATTTAAGCATTTTTAATTCTTAATTTAACTAAGGAATGATTTTCTTGAACACTACCCAATTTAATATAGGTATCAGGATAATTACAAAGAAATTCTTATAATTATGGAAGTGTCAAAGATTGTTTTCCTAGCATCTTCTATATAATTTTTACAATATCTTATCCTAAGAAATTTAATACTTCAAATGATTAAACTACTTATTCAGCTTCTAATTAATTAATTAGCTAGACTATATAAAAATAAAAATGATACTCCATAAATCAATTCTTCTTATGCTGAAATCTATTATTATTTACTTTAACTTAATTAAACATGTTTATCAAGATACATTCTTAGAGATGTGATAACAATTTAATATCTATGAACTTCTTATTTTTTTACTTCATCAAATAATTTAGTTACTGATTATCCCATATTTTTTTATAATTTAGCCATCTCAAGAAATGAATTAATCAATTTACGTTCTGTATGATAGAGATCTTTCCCTTTTGATTCACCTTACATCTATCTCAAATACAATCCTTAATGTTTTCTACGATATTTTGTAAGTTTAGAAGAACTAGAAGCAAAATTACTAAATGCTTTTCGATATTAATCTCTATGAATTGATATACCAGTTTCAAACATTTCTATGTTGAAATCTAATTTCTCTTTTATGAATTTATCAATTCCATCTAAGAGATTCAAGATTTTGATAGCATTACCTTAATCATAATTACATATTTCTTTGATGGTTTCATCTAATTTAGGGTAATACAAAGTTTATCCATCTTGAAATAGTTTATTGATAGCATTATTCTTAGTTCTTAAATACTCTACATTTTATTTTTCATGTTACACAAAAGTCTTAATGAAATGAATGAGATTTTGAATGCTTCTATTTGAAATTGCAATTCTCTTTTCTAATATGCGAAATACATCTTTAATTATTTGTCTGTGTTACTACATATCAATTCCAACTTATTCCATCCAAGCTTATAATTGATTATATGATTGATGTCTATGAAACTTAACAGAAGTTGGGTCATCTTAATGATTAACTGTTCTTTGAGCAGCTGATTATCGAATAGATTCTCTAAGACGATCTTCAACAAGTTATTCTGGATTATAACTAGGCATATTAACAAATTTGAATGATTAATCCTCTGCTTAAACATATTCTGATTTAACTACTTCCTCTTAAAAATCACTTTGCATATTAATTATATAAATATATATATATATATTTAAACAACATTTCAAATAGATATCATTACTTTAACTTTTCTAATTCTGTTAATTTAGTTTCAACCCTTTTCAAAATAGTATCCAAATGATCAACTGATGATTCCATACCTTCAATAGAATTCTATATTTAATTAATTTTCTAAATATTCTCATCTAATTTATTCTCTGCATTCTTGATAAAATATTATATAACTTACAAATATTTTTGGTTTCTTCAAATTCTTCTCTTATTTGATTAATTTTATCCAAATTTTTTTAATAATGTACAATAGTAACCTCATTCAATTTCTAAATAGTTTAAGTTTTCAATTAAATGACTTGTAATTATATTATATAAACATACTCTTTTATTAGTTGTCTACATAATTAACTATGTTTTAAGCATATTAATCAATAATATCAACTTATTCTTTGCCTATCATAAGGTTATAATAATTATATAATTGATAATATTAATTTTATAATATCATTTTTATTTCTTTTCATTTCTGAATTGTTTGATACTTTTTTCAATCTAATTCTTGCAAGCCTTATGAATCTCTGGTTTGTAACCCATAAAAAAAAGTACTTCTAAGAACACAAAGTCAGGTGCCACAAATATTTATAGAATATTATCTAAAAGGGCAGGTGCTCGTTCTAGGAAAATTAGAAAATTTTTTGCATAGAATTACTTTCAAATACTCCATGTCCAATAAACTACAAAATCCAACAAGTGACTTAGAAAGTGGTGGCTACACATAAATGATTACTCCATTAAACCTCATCTGCATTCATGAAGTGTTAATTAAGTAGAAGTGTGACTACTATGTAAAATAAGGAAGCAAGAATCTTTAATGTATCATATATAATAAAGAGCTTACTCCACTAAAAAAGTCTACAGTCATATAGACTATAGCAAGGACAAAAAGCATAATCAAACCAAGGTTAAGTTTACAACATCCTATATCAATTATGGATGAATAATGATTCATAATTTAGACAGCCGATAACAAAATAAGTGGTATACAAATTAAATGAATGACTTTGTTCCTATATTTAGATAAACTAATATTACACAATATTGTTGTGATAACTACCATAGCTGCTGTAGAAGTTAACAATGTCTATTCCCATATTAATAAATTTAATGATTGATAAAGATATTAAAATCAAATATCTTGAATTTGAACTAGAAAGTAGATAAACACAAGTATTATAATTAGAAACAAAAGTAGAAACTTTAGAGACACCAATTAATTAGAATGCATATATATTATTTCCTATATAAAATTTTTATATTAGAATTACAAGAGAAAATTAAAATGCTTGAGATCCAAAAATTAAAATTTGTTGAAAAAAATTAAAATGATGTTGTAGAGTGGAAAACTAAGGAAAGAAAATTTAAAATATAAGTTACATCAAAAATTAAAGCAATTACGTAATTTTATTAAGAGAATTTCATAAGACAACATAAAGTTCATTGAAATCTACAATAGAATTAGCAGGTTATTTTAAAAGGAGATTGAAAAAGCTAGATATTGAAAACCAAGAGTTATTGGATACGAAAATAAGATTAGAGAGTTTAATTTAAGAGTTTTTGGAAAGAATATCTAAAAAGATGCAAAGATTCAAAGAAATTATTCTGAAGTTTAGTATGAAGGGAAAATGTAATAGAGTATATATCAACCAATGACTTAGAGAGTTACAGCTAAGACGAGTACTAATTAAATATAAAAGTAGGTGTATGCTCGTTCTCTTTTTAAACGATCAATTTAAGATGTTAAAATTAAATCATTAGATAAGGGCAATAAGGAGAAGTAAAGAAAAAAGGTGGAGGTATAGTAAGTAGAGGATTAGAATTAATAATATGTTAATGAATAGAGGTAGAATTCATAAGATAATAAATAATAATGATAATGTATAAATATGTATAATTATAATTAAATAGATAATTCATCATAAATTTAAATTATCAATTTCCATAATTCGCCATTCATATTATTTACCAATAAAATGATTTCTGAGGTATTTAATTCTTTTCTTTGAATTGAAGAGTAATACTTTAATTAAATCTGGATTAGAATTGGCAACTTGTGTCTGTTTCAATTCAAATATTACCTAAATGTTAATAATGATAAAAATACTCTGTGATAAATTGATTCTAAATGAGGTTCTGGGGTTGGTTACAACATTAACTAGGAGAGTATGTAACACTCAATTCGAAAAGTAACACTAAATATTATATGAATATACTTTTCAATTTCAGATCGTTCATGATCATTACCATATAAATTTAAATTAACACAGTCAAAGAGAGACATCTTTATACACTATTATGATTTGTCACCTATTGATAATCTATTAATAGAATGATGATATACGTTAATTCAGAATAGATAATATCTTTTGTTCCATTCTTTAGATTCAACAATTGAAAATTATGTTTCTCTAGAGATCTTTCTAGATTTGCATTAGCTATAGTTGATATGAATTTGTAATCCTTTTCATTAAGTGCTTAAATGAATTGTCTAATAAATTTTACTATATTAAATACTCGTAAGCCATATGAAATCCTTCATCAATTCTGTTGTCCCAAATTTCAGATAGTAAAGATCGCAATCGATAACTTCTGGAAGAATCAATGTCATCGTATTTATATCCTGTAAAAGGTAGAGTAGCATGTAATGCAACTGTCGAGAATTTACCTACTATTGATTTAATTAGAGTATTCATGCATATATAAAAATTACTATTTTTAATTTACTTCATCTAAACTTATTAATACAAATATTTTAAATATCATAAAAAACGAATTAAAATTAGTTGCAAATATAATTTATAAGCATTCTTGTATGTTCTAATAATTGATTTAATAGATCTATGAAATATAATTAGAAAAGTCATTAGATTAAATTACAATTATAATATTTTAATTATATTTAATACATATATCTGATATATAATAAACTAATATCATAAACAAATCATTATTTATAATATCTAAAGTCTTATTTAATAGAATAATCAATCAGATTTCATTTTTATATTTAGAGTTCCTAAATATATATTTTCTGTTGTCATCTGATTTTTTTTAACTAAGAAATCTCCTATTTATTAAAACAATATAATTTACCTTCTTCTTCATTATCTTCACTTGTTCTTCTGGATGTTTTTATTTTATCAATTATTCTTTCACTTCTAGATTTTTAAGTTATATGTTAATTTTACATTTACTTTTTCTTCATCATCATATTTTTACTATTATTAAGTTATTTCTTTTATTTAGGTGTTAATTAAGTTATTAATCTCTTTTCTCCTAAATGTTTATATCTTCTTAATAATAAAAATTCATTTATATCAAACCATTTCACTATAGGAGGTCTTGAGACAAGTGCCCAATATGCATTACATAGACCTTTAATTGAATTACGTATCATTCCAATTACTTAAAATATTATAGTTACTGTGATTACTGTTTGATAACCCATATTAGAACACATTTGTTGATAATTATTAAAAAAGAATAGATAAATGAAGAAGATAGGTAATTCTATAACAAACAATTATGTAAGTTGATAAATCTATTTCAAATTAAATAGACTATTCATTATTTTAATACCTGCTTATGGACAAAAATTACTTACTACATTTTCAACTAAAATATTGGTATCATATATACTCTTAATCCAAAGATTGGAAAAGAGAAAAGAAGCATCTTTATTAGGATGTTTAAAAAATTGAATTGTGCATTTCACATCTTAATAACAAAAGATGGTGAATTTTATTACAATCATTATAGACATCATGTAGGCAGTTGCTAAGAAATTATTACGTATTTATTAAAATGTATTATTTTCATATTTTTCAATATAATCTGAAAGATATAAACTAGATGATATTATTAAAATATCAAATATATACTTACATTATAGAATTATTTAAAGTAATAATAGAAGTAATTCTTTTTTTATTGGAAATTTCCTTTTTAATTCCTTTTTTTATTCATATGTTAAAATATAAAAATCAGGTTCTGAATTTATTCTTAATTTAATTGCAATAATTAAATTTGTTACACTACATATAACAATTACAAGAATATCTACAATAAATAATGTAAAAGTGAGAATCTTAACATCATTTATAAAACAATATTGATCTTTGCAATAATTATGATTTCTCAAATCCTTTTAAGAAAGAGGAACCTATATCATAAATACAGTCAGAAGTGCTAAGATTAAAAATATTGGTTCTACTAGACAACCTATAATGTAAAATATTTTCATTCTATTCATTTATCTTCTTAAATGTTTTTATAATTAACTACTCATTCTAAATTCTGTTAATGATCCTTAAAATATATAAAGTAATTTATTTATTATATGTATAATGAATTTTCCAATAAATCCCCATTTTATAGTTTCAATATTTTAATCATTAATTCCATAACTACTTTACATAATTGTATAATTTTAGAATCGAAATTTTTATTTTAAAAGATGATATCTTATTAATCCATCATCAAACATAGTTAAAGTTTATTGTTCTACTTCATCAAATTTTACTTGAAGTAAATTATAATTGACTTGATTATTAATCATATTAATATACATATGCATCTTTCCCATACTAGTACAAAATCTTGAATTTCCAGAGAAATCAATATATTACAAATGTGGTAATTAAAAATAATTATAACCAAACCAAATTAAGAAATCATCTGAGAAATCACTTTCTTTAATTATCAATTATTATATATAATTATGTTGTCCATATTTTAAATTATAAAGTGAAGTAAATTATATATAAGATTAAATTACTAAATAAGCTAATTAATCTGTAATATTTAACCAATGATTAAAAATATATAATTTTGGATTCCTTTCTAATAATTTAATAAATCCTTTGCATCCTCTTCCATAACATTAATTACCATCTAATGATAATAATTCTAATGAATTAATTGTTCTATTAAGTTCTCTATATTCAAGTTAACAAAAATATTCATCTGTAATTTTATTTTTGGATAAATTTAATGCTTTAAGTTTGGATAATCCATCTAAAATTGGATCAAATATTTCTTTAAATCCAATATGAGTAATTTGATTTTAACTTAAATGTAATTCTTTTAAATTAGTTACAATCAATTTACTTAAAACTTTACAATGATGATCATTAAGATGACATTATTCTAAATTAAGGAAAAAAATATTTTAGAATACATTATTAGGTTAACAACATTATACTAATTTAACAATACTTCTATTTTTTTATTTATTTTTAGAAATATCAAGATAAAATAAATTAGAAAGACATTAGCTATTAACAAGATTATTTGGAACTTCATCAATCATTAATTAACAACATAATTTTTGTAATAATGATGGAATTTATTTAAAGTTTTACTTAAATCTTAAAAAAGTTAGTTTAGTTAAATTACATTCACTAATATCTAATTATATTAAAGAGTTATTTAATGGTAATGTATCAATAAAAATTTAAATTACTTCATCATCTAATTGACATTTAGATAGATTAAGATTCTTTAGAGTTTAATTATTTTAAATACCTAATGATAATAATTCAATGCATTATTTAGAGATTAAACATTTACGTTCATAATCATTACTTTAATTACTACTAAGATCTAATTCTTCTAAATTCTTTGAATTTAATAATAATTGAAAAATAAATTCAAAAAATTCAACAGAAAGAGTTGATTTTCTTATTGATAAAGTTTTCAATTTCTTTAATGATCCAAATAAATCTTTCAAAGAATCAATTACTTCCTTTTTGTCAAAATATTAATTATCCATTATAAGTGCTTTTAATGAATACATTTATTTAAGTTATTCTAATAATTTCTTTAATTAATAATTTTTTAATAATGTATTAGATATTTCTATTATTCTCATCCATTTTTAATTTTAAATTAATATTTATAATAAATTCTCAAATATATCTCTTCTTAATTTTAATCTATTTATAGATAGACTTTCAACTTTATTATTATCTCCATAAACATGTACATTATTTAAATAATCAATAGATTAATTCCCAAATAATTCTAATTTTCTAATTGAATAAGATTCACGTATTATTTCACTTATACTAACAAGATCATCTGCTGTTAATTTCAATTAACTTAAATTCATCTATGGAAATTATTTATATTATCTTAATAATATTTTTTTCATATTTTAAAATGTAGCACTATGAATAGAATTTTATGATAAATCAATATATTATAGACTTGGATTCTTAAATATTTCTGGTAATTTTATAATTACTTCATAATCTTCTTCAATTTAATTATTACTTATATTCAAATAATGTAAAGATCCACAATTTTTTAATCCATTTACTAAAAATACAATTTTTGATTTTAATTTATTATTTGATAAATCTAATGAAATTAATGTAAAATTATTAGCAAAACAACTCTCAAATTATTTCAATTCATTTTCATTTAAAAAATGTAAATTATTATTTGCTAAACATAAAGTTTATAATGTATAAGTCTTAGATAATAAAGAATAAATGCATTCCAATACTTAACTATTCTATTACTATTAATTCTTTTATTCAATCTAATCTACAATAATAGGATCATCTAAATTAAAAAATTTAGCTTCTCCAGATCTCCTTAAATCTATAGTAATAGTATCTGATTATTTCTTAAGTTATGTATCTGATTTTCTAATTAATTAACAATTATTTAAATTTAAATATTCCAAACGATTATATTATTGAGAAAGACTCTTTAAAATAGGCATTATAATTTAAGGATTACATGAAAAATCAAGTTCTCTCAAATTTGCACATTTAATTTCAAATAATTCATTTTTACCACTATGAATTTCATTCCCATCTTATCTTAATTATGATAAAACTAATGTTCTTAATTTACATTCTTTCATCATTGATATTAATGCATAAACTAAATCATACCTTAAATAATTATGAGATAAATCTAAATATTATAAATTCAATTGTTCATGATTAAATATATACACTAATATCCCTTCTCCATTTATATTATTGTTTGCAACTGATAAATTTTATAATGATTTATTCTCAATCAAGGCATAAATTAAAGATATAAAACCTCTAGTTTTTATAGAATTATTATTAATATTCAGATCAATCCATTAAACTTTTTTATATGATAATACTTAAGATATTTGATAGGCTCCTTAAGTATTTATCTAATTGTTTGACAAATTAATTGATAACACATTTAGAAAAAAGTTATTAGGAATTTCTTCAAATAAATTACTTGATAGATCAACTCTTACTAATTATTTATTGAGAACCTATTAATTCTAAAATTCTTATATTTTATTTCTTGATAAATTTAATTCTTCTATATTTAATTTAAGTAAGATCTATTCCAAATGTACAACACCATCTTAATTTATATTATTACCTGATAAATTTATAGATTTTATATTAATTGATGTTATTACTGATAAATAAAGAGATTTACTAAGCAATTCTAATCCATGATTCTTTATTTAACAAAATGAAAGATCAATATAATCTAATGATTTCTTGCCTGTATAATGTAACATAGCAGATGAAAGTGCTAATAATGATTCTGAACTTAATTTCATAAGACTCATTTTCAATCTTTTAAGAGATTTCAGATTTTTTAAATTAGGTAAAATCATTGATAATTATGAATTATCAATATTACAATGACTAATATTGATTTCTATCAAAGGATTCTTGCCTTTAAGAACATACTTTATAAAGTCTTGTACAACTGTTGGAGTAAAGGATTGATTATTGAACAGATTCAATTAAGCTAATCCTGTATGATCGATCATCTACAGAGTTGATCAATACACTAATACCGCCTTAAAGATGCAACTAAGTGAAAATGAATTCAATTTGCAACTAGCTAATTGCAAAACCTCAATGTTTGTATTTTTCTATACCAGATTGGCTAACTCAATTGCAAAGTAGACATTAATATTACATCCTGAAAGATTGACTTCACTAAGCTATATACTTTTAGTACATGATGCGATTATTACATGATAATGATTAACATAATTCACTAAAACACGCTAAAGCTCCTTAATTTACAGTAAAATATGATTGCTCAGTCAATTTCTATTTACCAAGAAATCTTTTAACAAATCTATGCTTAATAAGTATTCTTAGAAACTTAATTTTTACACTATCACTATTTTACATAAATTATATTAATTGTATTTAATAAAAAATGTGGAATCAGAAATATTCAATTGAAATATTTTTAAATAATTGATATTCTTTTAAATATATATCTTATTTATATATTTATAATCAAAATATTAACATTAAATGTAATATTAAAATAAATTAAAAATACAAGGTACTTTAATTCACAATAAATATCATTAAGAAAATATATAATAATTTTGATATTTAGTAAACTTCAAGTCGAAATTTCATTTATTAATTAAATTTTATTAAACATATTAATATATTTCTTAAATAGATGAAATTACTAAACATTTATTTGCTATATTTAAAATAATTAATTCTAATATTAATAAATTACAATTATTAGTTTAATAAATCAATTGATTCATTTAATTCAATATTATTATAGATCACATTTCAACGCATTTCTGCTATAAAAAACATATTTTCCATAAATTTCAATTATTTAAACTTTTTCTAATTGGATCCCAATTCTCATTTAATTACAATAAAGAAGATCCATTATTATATAATTATAGGTTATTTCTAAACATATAAAATCTTATAACTCTTTTTTACAAAAATTGAATATTCTATTATTATATTATTAATACTCAAAAATAATTAATTTATTATATTTTTTTAACTGCTAGTTAATTAATGGGAAATCAGCAGTTTGAAGCTAATGAGTCTGAAACTAATATCACATAGTATTACCAAAATATGCTCAATTAAAACAAAGAAAACATCCCTTATCAGTATCAGAACACTCCTAAATTGTTGAGTGCAGAAAGTCGTAATAAATTGAGACCAACATCAAAAATCAATTTAGATATGAAATTGTGTTCTAAATCTTCAGAAAAATAGTTTCATGGTATATAATAAGTATGGTTTTATAATTTAAATTAGAAAATGTTTTAAGAAACACCAATAGTTAGAAATCCTTTAGAGAAATTACATAGAAAGAGAAGTAGTACTAAAATAGTTTAAGAGAATGATGAATCTCATATTCAATTATTGGATCTTCTAAAGAATATGGTTAGACATCAAGATTCAACAATGTAAAGTAGTCAAGTTAAGATTACAGAATAGTCATGTTAAGAGTATGATAAAAAGAAACATATGATTAATCAAAATTAATATTACAGACCATAAATTGAAGATATACCATTATAGTTAAATAATAGAAAGAGATCAAAAACATTTGAAGAATCATTTAGAACATTAATATCAAATGAAGATAGATGTTAACCATTAAAGATGAATAGAAGAGAAAGTAAAGAAGAAGAAGCTCTTTAATTTATATTATAGAATTGCACTTAAACTTAATCAAGAATAGATCAATAAATATCTAATAGTATAACATTTGAATCTTTAGAAAGTGATTGGTAAGCATTAACTAAAAAGAATTCAAAATAATTAGAAACACCTGGAACTGCTTAATTTCATGGATTAAATAAAGATGATAAAATATTTGAACTATCTACATCCAATTTTATAGATTAAAATAATGAGGACTATTAAGGTTCAAGAAGACCATCTTGTCTTGAATCTACTTTTCTAATCCCTATGGTTTTACATTCATAAAATAGTCTAGAATTTGATGATTCTAAAGATGTCTATTAAAATTCAAAACCTACTTAACCATATGAGTATAAAAGAACTTAAATACCAATGAATGGATTATTTTCTAAATAACAATCATAAAATCATTTAAATAAATTAGACAGCAAACTCAATTCTACAAATAGAGATCTAACCTAACCTTTAAAAAAGATAATATAGACTTAAGCCACAGGATTACCTAATAAAGCACCTTTAAAACATAAATCATTTCATTAATAATCATAAAATGCTCTATCATTACCATTATAGATGATTAATTCAAAAGGGAATTTAGGTTTTAGATCAAATTTAAGTTTAATTTAAAATGTGCCTTAATCTTCTTTATCTTCAAAAAATGGAAGAAATCAATTTGATTCAAAAATAATGAAGACAAAATAAACAATAACACATCCTGAAGAAGAATGGTTTGATAATTCAAAATTAGAATATAAGAAAATCATGATGATTTTAGATGAATAATAATAATAATAATAATAATAGATTTAGAATTTCAGTATATAAAATAAAAGTGAAATGATATCAAATACTTTTAATAGTTCAGATATTAATTGTTCATAGAGATTTTAGTTAGATGATTTCAAACTTAAACCTCATCTTGAAGATAAGAATACATAAACATAATTAAAAGATTTATAAAAGAATTTCATAAATAGATTATGTTAACCAAAAAATAAATGTAGTTCAAGAATAACTGAAAATAATCCATATTGGAAATTAAGAGAACTTGATTAATCAAAAAGAACAAATAGAAAATGAATTTATTAATTATTTTTATATTTTTTTATGATTTTTATAAATTTGTCTCATAATTTAACTTATCCTTCTTCCCAATCTTCATATTATCTTAATGTAGCAACTAATTCTGGATTAGAATCTTCTGGAGAATTTTCTTTCTGTAAATATGCACTATTGTATGGTAAATATTCATAATCATGTTCTCTGGCTATACCAAATTGATTGCCAATCACATATGATAATTAATTCAAATCTTTCTATATTTTTATATCATATTTAGATATATACTTCTTCTACATCTCTAACATATTAAGCTGGATTTCCTGCCCATAATTAATTACTTGGAATAAGTCTTCCAGGTGGTACAACAGTTCCTGGTGCTAAAACTGCTCCATCTTCTAATTTGGCTCCTTCAAGAATGATAGATCTATAACCAATAAAACAATTATCCCCAATAGTGCAAGAATAGAGAGTGCAATCATTTTAGACCATGACATTATTTCCAATACTTAATACAGCTGGCATACCATTTGGTAATGATGCAGCAGTGTGTAATACTGATCTTTCACCTATGATGACTCGATTCAAGATTCTAAGTTATTTGGATTCATTACCTTATTCCATTTAGATCTCCTCTTAAGACTGCACCATACCATACTACACATTAAGATGCCAATTCTACATCACCAATTATTGTGGCTGTAGAAGCAATGAAATGTTGACTTCCTATTTCAGGAGACAAATCATATAATGCCATAATATTTCTGTGTTTTGAAATAATGAATGGTTGTGTTCCAACAAATGGCACAGCTAATCAAAATCAATTAATCATCATACGTTATGCTGCTTATTAAAATGATCTTTAAATCAAACCAATCAATGGTCTTATTAATTTTTTCATTTTTAATAATCAATATATTTATTTATATATTCATATATGGACCAATATCTAAAGCAATTCCAAAGCACTGAATTAATTTAACTCACTGTCTCAGGAGTCATAGGCTTAATCATTTGTTTGATGGCATCTGCTATTGGAAATGCTGTACTAGTAGAAATCAGTATAAATATCGTTTTTTCAGCTGTATTTATTTCTAATATTTTCAAGTATTTTGGAATTTGCTTCATCATTATTGGAATCTTATTACTCATGAGAGTAAACAATTTACCTGAAAATAGTCAACTCCAAAAAAACAAGAAATTCCTATAATATTTTGGTATCATGGTACTATCATCTGGAATCATATGTTTTTGTCTTGAAAGAGATTGGTAATATTTATCTTACAATACTCAGGAATAAAACCATGGGATACTATACCAAAATTCCATTATACATTGTTTTGGGTGTCTCACTCAACTTTACTCTTATTTTTGGTTTCGTTGACACCATTAATTTTGTTATTGGTTTATTCTAATAAGCTTGGTAACGAACTCTAGTCGAAACACCTAATCAGATTATCAATGCTCTTTTTATAAGTACACTTATAGGTTTCATCTATGGATTGTTCTTTAGCGCAATGGATATTGAAGTATTTCAATCTTAGATTTCTTTAGGATATAAGAAATTTTAATAAACTAGAAAGTAAATTGATTTTTGAAGAAAAATTGTGTATGCCTATTGTAGGACTCTTGGGTTTAATAGGAGGTGTAGCAAATGAATATCTAAGAATAAGAGGAGATAAATTTATGCCATATACCTTTGAATAGGTTAAAGATCCTTTTACAGAAGAAATTTGATATTGATATTGATATTAATTTAATTTTATTTTTACTTTAGTAATTATTTTAATGAAATTAAGTCTTCTATTTATATTAAATAGTTTTATTCTTATATACTTAGGATTATCGTTGTGAAATATTATTATAATTTTATAAAAAAATAAATGCTTACATTCGAATATTTGATAGCATTGTATATCTTGTTCTTATTAATTAGTTTGTCATTAATAATTATTATAATGATAATTTTATCATAAAATATTCTGAATTCTGGATTAATTGATATAATGAAATAAAATTTAATGAAACAAAAATTGAATTCGTAAAATTTTTGGAATCTAAAGAATATTGTTTATTTTTCATATAACAAATATAATTTAGGCTATTTATTTTTTAATAATATATTTTGAATATTTCAAAAATGAATAAAATGCATTCTAATTTTTTTATATATATTGAGTAATCCTTTAAATTTAATATATTAATTCAATTATTATATTCAATAATAACAAACTTAATTTTTTAATTAATATCCATAATTTATTGTTATTTCTGATGGTTTTGAGTATAATTTTAATTATTAATTATTTATTAATTATTAATGTTATGATTTTGTACAAATCATTCTGTTAATTTCTTCTCTAAGTATGTAAAAACATGTGATATCTATTTATAATTTGTTTTTAAATTTATATATAAAAAATATAGGTTAATAAATATTGCACTAAAATGAGCCAAACTAATCTCTAAGGTTTTAGGTCTAATAAAGAAATTTATTGTATCTAGGTTTGAAAATTGAATGAATTAAGAATTAAGTCGTTCTTAAGTAAGGATTTAATACAATATGATTAATAAAGCATTATGAAAAAATTGAATGATTGTATAATATTTATAAATAATTTAGAATGTTTGCCTTAGCTATAGAATTGTTTTGTATTTAACTTGGATATTTTGACTGCCAGTTTAAAATCACTTCGCTCCCAGGTTTTTATACATTAGGACGATTATTTTCATTATTATTAGTTATTTATCCATGCTCATACGATATAAATAGTGAGTTTAAATTATAAAGATCTGAAATAACTGAAAATCGATTCTATTCTTTAATACAATTGCTAATAGATCTAATCAATTAGATATTCAATAATCCTTCATTTTAAAATTACATACAATTAGTGTTTAATTTGATAATTTATTTCGGAATTGGTTTCGTTCTAATTGCTAATTATTATACAAAAGATACAATTGAAATGAATATTAGGAAATACAATTTAAAAAATACCATTATGAAATTAATTACTTTTTTCTTCATTTGTATTTCAGTAGCATTTTCAATACCTTTATTAATGATCGCTCTACAAAATTTACAAAGATCAAACAAAATATAGAATTATGCTTGGTTTATTAATGATATTATATATTTGGCGATAATCCATTTTATATCAATATTTTATTTTATTCTCTTAGAGGGTACTTTGATTGTGACGTAAGGAGTATGCAAAAAATTATAAGTAAACTTCCAAGATTATATAACATTCCTATTACAAATTATTCAACCTTATATTTTTGTAATGAGTCCTCCTATAGTGGCAATATATGGTTAATCAATCATATTTTTATTAATTACATTATTAGAACTCATTTCCATCTATATCTATTAATCATATTCTAATAATATGTAAAAAATTTTATTATTAATTATTCATTCTTGTGGAATAATAATTGCTATAAGTTCAATAACACACCTTAATTAACCTATGGTATATTTAATACTTTTATCACCTTTATTACTATATATTGGAATTTATGTACATAACTATTTGGAATTTTAAATATTTACATCAAAATTTTAAAAATTGAATTTATTTGAAGTTAATAATTTAATATGTTCATCATTATCTGCCTAAAGATAGACATTTTAATAAACTTGTATTCTCAATTCAATATATTTATTTAGACATTCTTAATAATGTTAGAATATTAAATGTTAATGTCAATTATATGAACAATATTCAAGTAATACTAATAAAATGATTATAATTCCTGATATTATTGAACAAGAACTCTATAGTGAATTATTAGACAGAATGAAAAGATTACTACAAAGTTAAGAACCATAAGATTGTTTTTATTTTCTTATTCATTTCTTATATGCTCAATAATATCATGGTGAAGTATATGAGATATATAGTAAAGTTGAGAATAAGTTAATTTTAAATAATTTAACATATTTATAGAAAATTAAATGGAAATTCTTTATTATGATGATTAAATAAAATTTATATACAAATTTAAATGCAAAATTAAATGGAAATCATTTAGATAAAACAAAATTATCTTTAAAAATAAATTAATTTGTTAAATCTGAAAGTTTTAATTAAAGTATTAAAGATGGATTGATTAATATAATTCAATAAAAATTATAATTGTAATAATTATTAGTCAAATGTTAAAATAGGATAGATTTTACATATTCTTATTATAATTTAATGGAAAATGTTGAAAAATAAGAAAAAATACTAAAATCAATCTATGATTCATTTCCAAGTTAAAGAAATTAATCTTAATTAATGTTTTTTTATGCTGAAATTAAATATGATTGGAAAAAAGCATTTGATTAATTATAAATAAATGCTATTGATAATTCAATATTAAGTATAGTAGCTGATGTAGATTTTAATAGATTAGCCAATAAAATGGCATATCTAATTTATTCTTATGATGATCGTAAACTTAAAATTATTTCATATTCCAAAAAGGCTCCTATTGTCTTTGGATTTCAATAAAAATAATTTGAATTAATATTAACTCCTGATCCTTTAATTCCATCTGTTGTAAGAGATATACATGATCAATATATAGCAGATTTTTTATAAAATGGAAAAGGCAATTATTTTAGATAAGTTGGTTAAAATTTTTGTTAACTTAAATCAGGTTTTATGTAAAACATAGAATTTTTTTTTGATCTCTATTTCGATAGTAATCAATCTTTTCGTTTTATTACATTCCTTAGTTGTTATGAATAGGCAGATCCTATGATATTAATTGATTAAAATAATAAAATTTAAGGAATAAATAAGGAATTATTAAAAAAATTGAATTTTCATCCAAAAATAATAGAGCAATTAACTTTAGAAAAATCACTTTATAATTTATCAGCGGATTTATTTATACACAATGATATATTACATGGAAATTAAGATCAATATTCATTCTAATTTTAATTTCCTAAAGATTCATATTTTTCTTAAGAAAACAATACTAATACATAAAAAATATCAAGTTTAAGAAATAATTAAAAATTATTAACATATGAAGTGAATTGTGAAGTTCTAAGAAGAAAAACTTATAAAATAATTAAATTAAAGAAGATCTAAGAAAATAACAAAAATAATTTAACATCATCAACAGAAATACATATTATTTCAAATTAAAATCATCTTAAAGTAAATGATGAAGAATCAATTGTTATACCATATGAAAATTCACTACTAAAAGAATTATCTTCAAATATAATTATTTAAACTTAAAGAAAAGCAGATGTGAAAATATTAAGCGAATTAGAAGATAATCATCAAGATTATTAAATTGAAAAAGAATTAATACATCATTATAGTGATTCTAATGTTATTGATATTGATAATAAAACAATATAAATATTAGGGAATATATATGACAATGATGTAAGGAATTAAGAGAATTTTGTTTTGGAAGGTTCATAAGCATCTTCTATGGCTGGATTGAGAAAATCAGTATATTATAGAAAGTATACACTTGTAAATTAACTTAATGAATTAACTCCAGTTATACCAATTTTAAACAAATTATTTGGATATTTAATTTTTGCTCTAATCAATTAAGTTATATTTCTATCAATTGTATTTATTTAATTAATTTTAGAATATATCTTTCTCAAAAAAAGACTTTCATTCTCTCAATTATTATTATTAATCAATCTAAATTAATCATTATTTTATTGAACCTATGTAAAAGTTCTTCTTAACTCGTTATATGCTTTAAGATTATTAAATGTTAAATTTATAAAAAAGCATTACTAAAGAATAACTTAATTATTATTTATAATTTATTACTCCTTTATTGATAGGTTCATATGATGAATTCAAAATAAACTTTTAAGATCATTTTTAAGATGAAACATTCTCAGAATTCATTAAGGATAAATATGTTATCATTTAATAACAAACTTATCATTATGCTCCTCTAAAATTACAAGAATATAATGTGACATTATTTAATGCATTTAGTATATTACTTGATGCTTTTTATAAATAAGAATAAATTTATATAAAACCTTAAACAGTAAGAGGTACAAATCCTCATAATACATATTAATATAAGAATTATATTCTATTTGTTACTGTATTTGACAATATATCTGATTTAATGTATTAAGAGTCTATAACAAAAACAGAATTAGTTGTAAATAAATGGATAATAATGGTTATTCCAATATCAATAACAGTAATAATTTCTGTGTTACTTATTGGATACTATTACAAAAATTTTAATAATTATTTAGAGAAATTCTTTGGTCTTAATTCACATATAGATTAGATAGAGTTGGATGCTGATTAAAATAGACAATTATTTATTCTTTAAAGTTTAAAATAAGGATCAGAATTGATTCACTTATATAAATTTAATATGATTGGAAAAGAAGAAATTTTAACAAAAGTTAAAGTAAAGGAAATCTAAAAGGAAATGAAAAATATGGGTAATGAATTAAAAGAATTAAAATAATCTATTAAGATTTCAAAATTACCATTGATTTCTACTGTCTTTGCATTATTATTATAATATTTATTAATAGTTGGACCTTTAACTTATATTGGAAGTGATTATATGAGTAAATTTTCAAAAAGTATTCACTTTTTTAAATCAATATCAGATATTGGTGTTTATGTACCTGCATCATTTTCATAGAAAGAAATCTTATATTTTTTCACTTTTTTCACTTATTATACAACTGATGATAGAGCATTTTTTGTTGATTAAAT